AAGCAAAAACACATATACACACTGGGGCAAGACTCAAGACAGAGCAGGCGAGCCAATCTAAGTGCGTCGCTGCTTGATCTTCTTGGCCAGCTTGATCTTCAGAGTGTACGTCTTGACCTGGTCTAGGAAATAAGGGGTCTTGCAGGGACTCCAAGCCTAGCTGCTGAGTTCCCTGGCTCAAGAAAGGCTGCCTTGTTGCTTATGGCAGGAGTTTTACAGACCCCGCAATGGTTTTAACGGATGTTAAGGCCTAGCTACTCAGCTGCATAAAAAGGAATACAGACCTAAATACGAGCTGCTCACAGCGTTTTGAATTGTGTTACGACTGGATTCTCGGGGCAAACCTTCATTGCATCCTCAACCCTAAGAGGCCAAAACACGTTCCTAAACCCTAAACCCTAAACTAAACCCTAAACCGTAAGCCTGAACTCAAAACCTTCAAACCTGAAGCCTGAACACCCAACCCAAAACCTCAAACAATCCATCCTGAACCCTGACCCTTGAAGACCTAGACCCCTACAGAACCCTTCATAGAACCCTGATAGGAACATGAACAAGTGTATGACTCTCCCTAAGCCCTAAAGCCTAAACCCTTCTAGAACTAGTTTGAAGTAGGAAACCTTCCCGAACTCCAAAGCACACATGCACGGGTTACAGGCTCAACCCGGTCGCGTAGTTTTGCTTTGTTTAGGCTTAAGGGCTACCGGCGGCTGTGGGCTTGATCGGTGTTCACGGTTTAGGGTTTAGTTTTGTTTCGTCCTAAACCGTAGAGTTTAGTTTTGTTTTGCCCTAAACCCTAAACCGTAATACCCGAATACCCTAAACCGCTACAACAGGGTTCAGCGATGTACGAAGCCCCGTCGACACTTGGCGAAGCTTCTTGTGACGGAGTGAGGATGGCCGTTTCTGCTTGCGAGGACCCACGTTGCAGAGTGAGAAACATCTCCAGAATCCTTTGAAGAAGGAACTTAACTAAGGAGCCTCCTGAATTCTGGGGTCATATCAGGGGCCTTGATACTTAGAATACGGCTGTGGGGTTACATTATACTACTTCTAATGAACCCAAAATAGTAGAGGCAATCATGCAGGCCCCCTATACTAGTGCAAGCTGAGGCAGGGGTGTTTGAGGGTAGTACTCCTACTGCCAACCCTGAGGGCCCATGTGCCTATGCAGGATGTGTTGAGGGTTTAGGGGTTTCGGGTTTAGGGTTGAGGGTTTAGGGTTTAGGAGGGTTTAGGGGTTTCGGGTTTAGGGTTTAGGGCCTAAAGCAGCTCTTTTAAAGCACCTGGATAGGAATCCCGCTAACTAAGGAAACTAGGGCCTGCCCCACAGGAAAAGTCAACAGTCGGGGAATTGAGGAAGGCGATGTCATGCCAAGGTCCCCCTTTTTTAAGGACGCCTACTGAAAGACTCGAAGTGCTTTCTCAAACAAGCAAGTTCAAGAAGTCGGGGCTGAAACCGATAACCCCTAACTCCTTAAACGTCAAGCCCCTGAACAAGCAAGCCCAGGTTTCGAAGGTGTCTGTGCAGACTGAGCGGTGCACGGCCCCCATGTCTTCGAGAGGCCTCAGCTCTGTGTCTGGTTCCACCGGGTTTCGTCTACAGTTTTTTTTACAGGGTTTTAGGATGCTGGATTTTTTTGTCTTGTTGTACCGGGTTTGTCTACAGGGTTTTAGGATCTATAGAGTTTAGGGTTTAAGGGACCTGTTTCATGGGTTTACTCTGCAGGGTCCAGGATGTAGGGCCTAAGGCTTCAAGTGTAGGATTGAAGGTTCAAGGTTCAGGATCTACCTTAAGAACCCAAAACCTACTTTTTTGTAGGGTTCCTATAAATCCCATATTATTTTTTGTAGGGTTCCTATAAATCCCATATTCTTTTTTGTAGGGTTCCTATAAATCCCATATTAGGGTTTATAATAAGGACCTACCAAAAAAAGTGGGTTTTGGGTTCTTAAGGTAGAGCCTCGGCTGGCATATTCAGGCTGTAGAGTGATGTAGGCATGAAGGTGGGCAGGTTAAGGTTTAGGGTATAGGGTTTAGGGTTTAGGGTTTAGGGTTCAGGGTTTAGCTAGTAACTTCTTCGAGGACCAGTTGCTTGGGAACAGCTGACACCCTGACGCTTGCAGAAAACATGGGAGTTTCCGAAAATAGGGGACCCTAATATAGTACCCTAAATAGTAGGTCCCTTATTATAAGGACCCCCAAAACAAGGTACCCCTATTTTCGGAAACTCCCACATTTGTTTGTCATGGCTGCCTGTGACGTTTAACTAGTGCAGCTGCTAGTAGTGAAGATGGGCTAGGAACTGCTGACACCTGTGATGCTCGCAGCAAACATCTCTCATGTTACGCTGCCTGTCACAGCTAGGGCAAGTTGAGTGAAGCCGGGCTGAGGGTTGGAGGTGTTGATGCGCTCGAAATCTACCAGGGCGCGAAGCTTTCAACCCAACTTCTTGGCTTCGGTGGTAGGTGTTTACGTGATCCAAGCAAGTCTAGCATCTACAGAATCAACCATCACGAGCTAGGCAGCCCTGCAGGCCCATCTCTATATATCCCAAATGGAGCCCTGCTAACCCGAAACAACACAAATGCCTGGAATCCCAACCCTTAGCCTCTCACTATACGGGAAGAAGCCGTAAATCCCGAAACCCTTCAGCATTAAAGCCCCTAACCATGCAACTTCACAACACTCCTTGAAGGGTCCCTGCACCCACATCGTAGACAGTCTGGCCGTAGCAAAGTATTCCTAGTAGATACTATATGAGCACCACAAAAATTCCTAACCTCTACAGTATCAGCCTTAAACCCTAAACTATCAGCCCTACCCCCAAAAGGACCATTTCTAGGGATCGCACTGGGAAGCTTCCTCCTGGGTGTGGTGTCTGCGTCTGGGCCCGTGCTGCGGGACGGCGGCAAGTATCACACCAAGTCACGGCCTTAGGTTTTTAGGGTTTAGGGTGTAGGGCTTAGGGTTTCTATTCTCAACATCCATTGCTATGGAAAGGCACCTACAATTTCCCTTAAGCTCTAAGGACCATATGTTTTTCCATAGAATCCCATGAAACTCGATGTTGGGCCGCTTTACAAAGTAGCAAGAGCTCGTAGGCGGATAAAAACACAGCGATGTGCACCGGGTCATTATAGTGTGGCTTAAAGGGGTGCAGATGGGTGCGGGGTTTTCGGCTTTCGGCACACCCCAGCGTTTCAGAGGGGTCAGTGGATTTGAGGACATGGCGGAGCTTAAGGCTTGCAGTCCTATGCTTGAGCGTTCCGGGTCTATAGAGGGTTCAGGGTTTAGGGTTTAGGGTTTAGGGGATCTAATGGATTGTAAAGCCGTAGAAATCTCCAAGAATGTGTATGGCATTGTCTGGCATTTGTCACGGTGTCCGCGGAAATCTGACCTGGAACTTGATACGGGGACCTCTAAAGACTCTTTGGATAACAGCCTTTACATTGAGTTCAAGCGGTGCTCCTCAGGCCCTATGACACACCTTTCCACAGTGTAGGGCTTCAGGGCTTTGGGCTGAACTGCATTGAGACTTCGTTATATACGCAAACGAAAGACTGTACTTCTGTTCGGACCCAAAACTGAGGGTTTAGGATGTGTTGTCTACTGCTTCAAAGCACCTCCGTTGTTGCCAAACACGGCGACAACAGAACGAGAGCAAGAACCTGACACGTAAACCGAACAACCTACCTGACACCCTAAACCCCAAACCCTCAACCCAAAAACCTAGCCCAAAACCTAAACCCTAACCCTGAACCCAAACCCTAAACCTAAACCCTAAACCTAAAACCTAAACCCTGACTCTCCCATGCTTTAGCACTTCAAGCAGGCACCCAAAGAAGTTTCGGGGTGCGGTCTAGGGAAACCGATGACCCAAAAGTCCTCAGGCAATGAACCATAGCAGACATTGATGTCATTATGGTCTCTCTCCCCCTCTTACAGTCCCGAACATTGATGTCTTTATGGGTCTCTCCTTCTTGTAGTCCCGAACAGAAGTACAGTAGGAAAGACACCCAAACCCCATTAAACATTGCTAAGGCCCCCTAGATGGGGGTTTCCGAAAATAGGGGACCCCAATATAGTACCCTAAATAGTAGGATCCTTATTATAAGGACCCCAAAATAAGGTACCCCTATTTTCGCTTATTTGGGGGGTCCTTAAAATAAGGAACCTATTATTTAGGGTACTACATTAGGGTCCCCTGTTTTTGGAAACCCCCAGATGGAGCTTGGAAGCATCGGCTTGGCGATTCAAAGCCGCTCAAATCAGCCGACTGGATCCTGGACATATGTTCCTTAATTAATTTAGAGTTTAGGGTTTAGGGTTTAGGGTTTAGGCTTAAGAATAGGGTTGTTTGTGCTATAGATACTTTATAGTAAGGAACCCTGGGATACAGGAACGATTGGTAATTCTCCAGGCCCCTATATTACCTCTTCGGTTAACTGCCCGGAGGCATGCGAGGAAGTGAGATCAGGCTATTGGATTCGATGTCAGGGTGTTTAGGGTTTAGAGTTTAGGGTTTACGGTTCAGGGTTTAGGGTCTTAGTGGTTATAGTTATTTTGCGGAGCGAAACCCCAAACCTTTGTACCGGAACCCATGTGAAGCAGGGTTTCTTAATTACTTCAGAAAATACACGCCACCAAACCTAACCCTTAAACGTCCACGCTCTGGATTCTTTCTTCCATTTCGTGGCGATGTGTCGACCGAGAACTGGGCTGGAAAAGTGCTGAACTGACGCAGGTCGGGCACAGGCCCACCGACTTTCAACCTCAAGTTACTCCTGCTTGGTTGACATGGTGAAAAATGGTACCTGGTATTCCGTTAAAGGGTTCCGCTAACGTCCGATAATTCCTGCAAGGGTTGTATGATGTTCCTATTTGTAGGTTATGCAGGGTTTTCACAAGCTTTATGGATTATTTAGTAGCGGTCTGTAAGAATTTGTCCAACCCCCGAAAGTGTAAACCGGGAGCCCTGAATCCCGCGCCATGCCACTCACTGTGCCGCTGTGGAGGAGGCCACAGCCTCCTTCAGGTACGCCGCCGTCCTCTTAGATGCTTTTAATGTAGGGGGACCTGATTAAGAAACCTTGGGTATTTATCAGGGTTCTCTATATGAATCCTAATATTTTGGGGTTATAAGGCCAGGGTTTCTTAATCAGGTTCCTACGTTAGCGTTGGGGATTTGCTGCCTTGGGACCTATGGTATGGAGGTGTAGGATCCGGGGTCTGGGGTGCCGAATTCGGCAAGCTGCAGGCCCATAGTAGAAGGCTTTGGGTCCGACTACCACAACCTCACAACCTACTCTTGCTTCTAGGGAGATTCTAGGGTTCCTTAAAAGGGTTCTATAAGGGCTACTATAAGGGTTTGGGGTGTACGCTAGGACTGTGCCAAAATTTGGCTTAGGAAACCATGCGACGAGATGCTCTGGGAGCCCGGAGCCACAAACTATCACACTCGAGTCGCACATCGCGGATGGGGTGTTTCGAGGGTGCTGTGGTGCGCTTGAAATGGAGGTCACCCTTGAGGCGCTTACGAGTTTCATCAGCGAGACAAGTTACAACCCGCATACTTGAAATTAGAATCGAAATGAGCGTGCTTGCTGAACCGGATGACAGCGCAGTACTCTATGTCGTAAGACTCAAAACAACAGCAACCCTCAACCCTAAACCATTAATTCGCGGGATTCGTCGGAGGTGCTTGCCTCAGAGCTGTCGAGTTTCCTCTTTGGGGCTTCAGGGGTCCTGACCACGGTTTAGGGGTGAGAGGTGTAGGGTTTAGGGTTTAAGGGCTTAGGGGTTCAGGGGTTGGGGGTTTTAGATTTTAAAGTAATTATTTATAACCAGCCCCTTAGACACAGCATCCTGACCGCAAGAGGTCCCGGATCAGAAACATACCCACCGGTGGATCTGAACTACTGCTCCCTAAACCCTAAACCCAAAAAGCCGTGCCAGCGACAAAGCCTTTAGCGAACTCTGAGGACTGACCGGGGTGACTTGGGAATCAAGAAGGTGGCAAGACTCATGCGGCTTCCCTGACGCCTAGAGTACTTATAAAGGAAGCTTTCTAAGTATATACTTCTACTATATCGGTACATGGAGCCTCAGGGGCTATGCAATGACCAACAGCTCAGGTATCCATAGTCATAGTAGTATCGGTTTAGGGTTTAGGGTTTAGGGTTTAGGGTTTAGGGTACATCATCTGTTCCATCATCCTGCCTGACCACTGCCAGCACGCCGAAGATGTTTCGACACAGATCCTTACGCCCAGGTATGACTCTTAGGACCCGGCTTGGCACATCGACTGAACCTGGAGGACGGTGTGAAGGAGTAAGTGCGACTTGAAGCTCTCGCTCAAGTTTAGGATTTGTACAGTCTGTGCTCCACGGCCTGTAAGGGACCACATGCCTAACAGTCAGGTATCTCAACTCCCTATCTCTCGTAGAAGAGTCAGGTACCCGAAGTGCCGAATACGAACTTGCCAATTTCCTCAAAGGGTCCAGGTACTAATATGGTAGCTACTTAGTACTTATTTGGGCCCCAAAAGCAGAGACTTGGTCCCTTTGGGTTCCTTAGGAGTGGATTTTCAGTTCAGATTGGCGCTCAGGGTTTGGGTTACGTCGACTCGGGAGCCCATTTCACGACGGGGTCTTTTAGCCCGAACTAGCCTAAGCCCCGAGCCCTGACTCCCTAATTCGCGAATTCTGAATACCAGCAACAGCCAAATGCAACCTGTACGGCCTGAACTCTAATTGATGATTGCAAGCCCGAATACCTTAGTTCCCTTACCCCCTATTTCGAAACACATATGTATTCCTCAAAAACCCGACTCCTCAAGTTGGTGTTCTTCCACTTCTGGGTCCGTTTACAGTACAAACCGAAGTTTTCGGGGCTGATGACAACGTGGTCTATAGCTACGCAATGATGTGATGTCTCCAATGCCCTCAAAACCATGACTCAAGCCCCAATTAGGGTTTAGGGTTTAGGGTTTAAGGCTTAGGGTTTAGGGTCCAAGTACAGACAAATATTGGGTGGTCATTTAGTGTTTTTCATCATGGTCGTAGATTGGCCAGCTTTGCTCCAAACACTAAACCCTACACCCTAAACCCTAAACCCTGAAACCCTAATCCCTAAACCCTAAAACCCTAAACCCTAAACCCTAAAACCCTAAACCCTGAACCGGACTTGATCCTGTCCCCCTAACAAAGGAAAGGCTCCCTCCTAAGCCAAGATCTCCTTTTAAGGCAGAGGATCGCATTCCCAATGGTCCTCATCTGTTTTCACTGACCTTTAGGGTTTATGGTTTAGTGTCTTAGGGTTTAGGGTTTCAGGTTTATAGTTGAGGGTTTCTGGTTTTGGACCAACCCTCCGATCTCATGATCGGACCCCCGGACATGCAGCACACCCAAGCCGCGAAGTAGCACACAGAGGGCCCAATGCCTCCAACACCCTGTACTTGTGATGCGTTCTTCTTAACTTAATTCAAAGCACGGGTGTTGATTACTCATATGCTTGAGATTGCAAACAGAACCCCCACCCCCTTTGCGATCTAAGAACGATTCCCCATCTTAGTTACGGGGTGCTGGGCTATGTAACCGCCTGTAAGTCGCATATACAACTTTCCTAAACCCAAACCCTCCAAAATTCAGATCCCTTTTGAGACGCTAAGTCCTATAAACCCTAAAACCCCTAAAGGCCACCATTCACGAAGGGGCTCCGATGGCCTCTTCACCAACTCCAACGCCGGAGACGGATCCACCCCTCTCGCGACGAGCTCGCGGGTGACCTGCGCGGGATCTCGCTGCAAGCTTGGCTTACAAGGTTTGGCGCCTGGAGATTGAGTTGGGATTTAGCAGTTGGAGCTTAGGCATTGGGATTCAGAACTTATAGGGTATGTAAGTGGGAATCAATAACGTTATGATGTTCAGGGAGTGGAGACTTGAGTTCAATGCTTCCTCTAGGGGTCAAGCCGCCGTCGTGTCCAGGGCTTGAGGATTAGGTTCTACATGCTCGACACACATTCTTCTAAACAATTACGCTTGCATAGGTTAAGAAAACTAATTTATAGCGATGGCCATTGTGCTGTGTCCGAGACTCCAGAGTCCGGGGAAGAAAGCACTTTAGCCATGGAGATTGTGCTGCGGCAGCTTAGATAGGGCTTGAAGGGTAAGCCGAAACTCCCCAAGATTAAACCAAGTAGCTACCACTCCGAAGGTTCTACCCTGTCTTGGGTCTGGTGTTACAAGCAACGTCTATCCTAAAACGATGAACAAGGACCAAACACCCAGAAACCTGTTTTTCTAGGTTGCTGTCCGATGGAACCTATGGCAACCACCATACAGACCGAGCCGGGCTTCGAGTGATTCGGTTACCTCCCTAAACCCTAAAACCCTAAACCCTAAACCCTAAACCCTCAAACCTGAACCAAAACTTGGCCCTGGCTGCTATCTGTAACGGAGGGTCCAAGGTTCCGGGTCTTGGGTTTAGGGTTTAGGGTTTAAGGCTTAGGGCTTAGGGCTGAGGGCTTGGAATCAGAACCCTCGGAACACCGGACACAACCTCTTTTGCATCGTGCCAAGTCTCATGTCAAGCCAAAAGACGAACTCTAGGTTTTTGACTTAAACCTTAAATCCTGAAACCTGAAGCCCTAAAGCCCAAAGCCCTTAAAGCCCCAAAACCCTGACCCCAAATCGTAACTCTAGTTCCATATCGCGCACCTCGAGCTGATTGAAAAGAGCAGCCAGCTTAATGGGGGTCATTCCATCCTCGTCGGCAGCCTGGACGAAAACTTGAAACAGGCTCTCACGTCAAATTTCAGGCTTAGGAGTTCAAGCTGTATTGTATGTGTTCTTGTTGCGCCTCCTTCTTGCCATCTTCTCCTAGTTACGGGCCCCTACCGCATCTTGATAGGCACATGTCCAAGTTTCTGTGGCCGGTTGTCCACAGGCTTAGGTTTGGACCCGGGCTTTTGGGGTCTTGGCTTCGGGATTGTGAGGTTAAGGTTCAGGAGTTTGCGTCCATAGAAGTTAAACCCTAAACTCTAAGCCCAACCCCAATACAACATGCCTCGACTGTTCAAAGGGGTCCTACTCGGGTTTTAGGTGTCAGTATTTAGGAACCGATAGGGTAGGTTTCTTACAGATGAGCGCAGTCGTAAAACTCAACTCCAAAGCAAGGCATTTGCTGCGAAGCCTGAATGTTGGCGCCGGCTTCCAGGAGCATGATCACCTGGTGCAGTGTTGCCGACATGACCGTGCTTCACATCCTAAAGCTCGTCTAATGTAGCAGGAACGCTGAACCCGAAACACCTTGATTTAACCCCGAGCAGTATAGGATGCCTGACTGAACAAGCTGTGAACGACCTCTCTCACATGCACACGCAGAGACCGCAAGACGCAAACTTCTTATTCACGGCCAAACCATGGATGCTTTGGGGTCACTGTACAAGGATTCCGTCATGTTTCTCTGAGGTATCGCTTTGCTCTTATGAACATAAGAAGCCCATCAGACTCAGTGATCCTACTCGTAGTTACTGCTCTTGCTTCCTTTACCTGCCCTTTACCTGCCCTCCACCACCCTCCCGTTTACCTGCCCTGTACTGCCTTTTACTGCCCTTTAATGCTCTTTACTGCCGTCTACCTGTGTCCTTTACTGCCCTTTACCTGGCCTTTACTGCCCTTTGCCCTTTACTGCTCTTTACTGCCCCTACTGCCCTGTACTGCCCTGTACTGCCCTTTACTGCCCTCTACTGCCCTGTACCGGCCCTTTTCTGCCCTTTACCTGCCCTAAACTGCCATTTTTCCATCAGAATGGGCAGTGGGTCACAAAACGAACTAGTGGGTATCGATCAGGGTATCGAATGGGTATCGATCAGGGTATCGATTGCCCAGCCACTTATCACATGGAAAATTAAGGCACACGTGCCGCGGCAGCACTGAAATGTCACAACCGATTATCTTTGTTGATCGTGTTGCTTTTGGGGGTCTTGTCGCTTTCCGAGGCAATTGGCAAGATCCGGCACTCTACTCTTAACTTCAATTACCGAAGTTTTGACGGATGCTCATATAGAACCCTCGTAGAACCCCTTTAAAGAACTCTAGTGACAAGCCCTATGAGGCCCCAGAAAACTCCATGAAGAGGCAAGTGCAGAACCCCTTCAGGAGAAACCTATGCCAAATCCCTGCTGTCGAGCCCCTTCTAAGAACAATTTGCCAACCCCCCCTGTCACAGAACCCCTTTTACGAACCCTACACTAAACCCTAAACCCTAAACCCTAAACCCTAAACCCTAAACCCTAAACCCCTAAACCCCTAAACCCCTAAACCAAACCCGTACCATAGAGCCCTTGTAAGGAACCCTAGCAAAGACCCCCATGGAAGAACTCTGAGCCCGAGGGGGCCGTGACCTCCTTCTTGTGGCCTTCCTTGGCAGCCCAATGCCTGAGCTCAAGAGCGCACGGGCGGTGCCAAGCAGTGATTTAGGGTCCTCAATCGTTAGGAACAGGGTTTTGGGGCCCATTATATTATACTTATAATATGACTGGAGCTCAAGAGCGGTGCCAAGCAGGAAGATAGGGGCCTTATAATGATCAGAATCGGGTTTTGGGAGCCCACTATAAGACTACCATACTTATGCTAAAGAACCCGCAAAATAGTAGAGGTAATAGTTGAGGCCCTCTCTGGTATTTTGGAAAAGAAAGCGTGAAGACTCTTTGAGGGCTTCGGGCTTCAGGGCTTCGTACAGTTGAAGGTTTAGGGTTTGGGTTTCGGTTTAGGGTTTAGGGCTTAGAGGGTTTGGGGGTTTAGAGGGCGTTTAGGATGTATAGGGGATGGCTCCCTTTCCTTCGAGGTTCTCCAAAACCTTCTACAAGGGGCTCTTAGGGCAGAAGGCTTGAGGACTCCAGGGGGTTGGGTCTACCTGATATAGGGGCGTTAATAATTCGAATAGGATTTTGGGGCCCGCTATGCTGTAATTATGATACGGACCCCCCCTAAACCCTAAACCCTAAACTGGGTAATTGTTTAGGCCCCTATGTTACGCGCATATACGGCATGTGACATGTGGGCGAAATGGAGTCCCCGAGACTCAGAAGGACAAAGGAGGAGCCGGAAAGATGATGTGGAATGTAGGGTTTAGGGTTTAGGGTTTGGGGTTTAGGGTTTAGGGTTCAGGGTTTGGGGTTTAGGGGTTTAGGATTTAGGGTTTAGGGTTGTTGGGGTTAGGGGTTTAGGGTTCAGGGTTTAGGGTTGTTGGGGTTTTGGGTTTGGGGTTTGGGGTTCCAGGGTTAAGGGTTTGAGGTTTAGGGTTTAGGGACATGCATGGCCATGCGCAGGCAATAACATGCTTGCATAAGCCCTGCCCGGATCTTTGAAAAGTGTCCAGGAATTCTGCCTTGCCAGACAACTGCTGCATCAATTGGACAGTACGGTGCAAGCACAACAACACCAAAATATCCATGAACCAATCTTGAAACCAATCTTGACGACGATCGAGGTCGGTTTGACATGACTTCCTCTGTCTTGGCAAGCACAGCACCGGTTGGCTCACCATCAAGGGGCCTAGGGTTTAGGGCTTCGGGGCCTATCAGGGCCGTGGTGCTTGGACTGGATAGTACGATGCCCCTCGTTCCAAACCCCAAGACAGCAAGCCCCACATTGCCAGCAGTAGTTGTGAAGCAGGGGTACGGAATCGGGCTCCTACATCTAACCTGAAAACCCAAGTGAATCTCTGATACATCTGTTCGCTAAACCCTATAAACCCCAAGCTACCTATTCAAGACATAGCCCAGGGTTCAGGATTTACGGTCCATAGATCCTGAAACCTAAACCCTAAACCCCAAAACCCTAAGCCCTAAAGCCCTAAACCCTACACCCTAACCCCCAAAACCCTAAGCCCTAAAGCCCTAAACCCTGAACCCTAACCCCCAAACCCTAGCCCGTAAGAGACTCCCAGGCCCTGAACCCTAAGATCCTGAAACCAAGCTGCAATGGAGTAAGCCCAGCTCGGTCAGTGGCCTGGCGCAACTTCAGACGACTTAGGGGTGGGGGGCTTGGAACTCTAAGGGACAGAACTTATAAGAGTTATTATACTTAGGGGCTGAGTACCCTAGCCCAAAAAGGGTTAATTAACCTTTTGAATTATAGTAGGATCATATAAGCCCCAAAAGGTTAAAGGTTACCTACTCAGCCCCTGAGTATAAGGATTGCCATATAAACGGGGTTCTACAGGGATCTATAATTAGTGCTTTCGGGCTTTGGGCTTAGGGTTTGAGGCTTGTGGTTGAGAGTTGTTTCTTAGAATTGACCCGGGGTGCATGGTACGGGACTGTACAACTTTGTTGGGCCTAGGGGGCTCTACGAGCTCATAAATTGGAAAGCCTCGAGGCTTAGGGTTTAGGGTTTAGGGTTTAGGGTTTAGGGTTTAGGGTTTGGGGTTTAGCGTTTGGGGTTTAGGTTTAGGGTTTAGGGGAACTCCGATATTCCGGGTCTATACTTGGTTACCCTATTCCCCGAAACCCGCATAATAGAGAGAGTTACCAGCTTTCGTGGGGCTTCGGGTGGAGGGTACTACGTCGGCTTAACGCCAAATCATCAGTGGAGGTTTCGGTGGTTGAAGGTACAGGGCTTATAAACCCTGAACCCTATCGGGTTGGCGCATGACTTGGATTAAGTGCTTCGAGGCTGGGGGGGAGTTCAGAGGTTCGGGGTGTTGGGGATTGGGTTTGCGCGCGTGGAAATCTGGTCTACCCTACGGCTAGGTCAGATCATACACATAGACATCAAGTTACGTTCTAGATGGAAAGAGAGAGACAGAGAGAGAGAGAGAGAGAGGGAGATAGAGAGAGAGAGAGGGGGGGCACCGACAAACAGCCAGCCAACCAGGCAGGCAGGCATGCAGAAAGACAGACAGTCGGACAGACAAGCAGACAGACAAATCGGTTGAAAGATTCTTCATGCGACAGATGACATCTCAAAGCTTGAAGCTTGACAGCCATGGGAGCGCTTGACACATGCCAGAAGACTCTTCAATGTGGCAACCCCCACAAAGTCGCCCTGAAACCTCAACCCCCATGGATCTGACACCCTTTACTAGGCTTTTCGCAACTATAGCTGAGCCCCCTGTACGTTAAACCATGGTAGAACATTCTGAAACCCCCTGTAGCCTTTGTAGATCAGCCAAAAACCCTGTTCATCCTCTGCCCTCGCGGACCCAGAATAGTCGAGGTAGTACTAGACCCTAAACCCTAAACCCTAAACCATAAACCGTGGCGAGGTAGTACTAGACTCTAGCCTCTAAGCCCCCCAAATCCTCACTCAACCGGGGTTTATATAGGGTTTAGGGTACTAAGCCCTTAATCCCCAATCCCAAACGCCTCTAACCCCAAACTTATGTCCACTGCCCCAAACCCGAAACCCCAAACCCCTCTAAACCCTCAGCCACCAAAGCCCAGGCTGAAGGTAATCTAGGGCCTTCATAGTTAGAATAGGGTTTTGGGGGTTCCTTATTATGCTCATAGTACAATATACCCTACACCCTGTTCTAATTATTAAGGCCCCTATATAGTATAATATACCCTAAACCCTGTTCCAATATAATTAAGGCTACTATGTTATAGTATAAGATCCCCTGAATCCTGTTCTAATTATTAACGCCCTAAACCCTAAACCCTAAACACTGTTCTAATTATAAAGACCCCGATGTTAGAGGAAAGAGCTCTGCCAACCTCCACCTCGGCTTTCCTCGCAGCTTGGGCTTTTGGAGCTTAGGACTTTGGGGTTTGGGGGTTTAGGGTTTAGGGTTGAGCTTAGGACTTCGGGGTTTGGGGATTTGGGGTTTAGGGTTGAGCTTAGGACCTTGGCTTTGGGGGTTTGGGGTTTAGGGTTTAGGGTTGAGCTTAGGACTTTTGGGTTTGGGAGTTTGGGGTTTAGGGTTTAGGGTTGAGCTTAGGACTTTTGGGTTTGGGGGTTTGGGGTTTAGGGTTTAGGGCTGAGCTTGGGGTTTTGGGGTTTGGTTTGCGGATGTTTAGGGTGTAGGGCTTGGGTTTGGGATTTGGTTTAATTTATTGAAGTGTAGGGTTTAGGGCATGGGTTTGGGGCCTAGAAGGTTTTTCCTTCTTTCGCTCCCACCCCACACCGAAAACGGCGGGCAAACCATCCAAGCCTCTTCCTTTGGGGTTTAAGCCTGCGCTCAGGCCCAAACCACACTTTCTGGCTATTGACTGTTTAGCA